GGGGGCGGGAGACAGTTTTAGTGAGTAGGCCGTGGGAACCGCCCCTCCTCTAGGTGCGCTGAAAGCGTGAGTCTTTCCACACTACCTGGGCTATCTTCCCGGATGTCCGGAACTGGATTTCTGTCTTCCTCAAACAAAAAAAAAAAGGTATGAACAGGGTCATTTAGTTGTATGCGAAGTCTTACCGTATTGTTTTGAGACCGGGGGTACAAAAAACCAATCACAATAGCGGAATACACGACTTGCCTACCTGAAACGGGGGTACCCCGCGTCCTTTTCCAGCTTGTAGGGACGTCAATTTTTGAAGCTCCATCATTCTGAAGGGCACACTTTAAAGGATGAGCTTCAAAGAATATGATCATATTTTTTGAAATTTTGATCCCTTACACCCCTCATTGAGAAAAACGCAAAAAAGAATTTGTTTAAATTTTTCGACATTTTATAACAAATTGACAAAGTTAAAAAAAATATTTTAAAATAGCCCAATCCTTCTTGAATAAAACAACAAAAAATTTAGCTAAATCGGTTGAGTAGTTTTTGAGAAAAAAATTCCTAAGTGAACCCTATTTTCGCCAAAATGGACAAAAATTACAAACTTTTAAGATTTCCATTCCTTAACAAAATCGAAACCGGCAAAATGATGACTTAAGCCCCCTCTAACTGCACACGGACTACAACATATTTCGATTAGAGCAAAATCGGAGATAGTGACTTCCAAAAGTCATCGATTTGGCGTGGAATGACTCTATATTAGTTAAAAAACTAAAATTCATTCGTTAATTAATTTTACGTCGTAATCGGTTATGTGTCGGAACGTAAGACAATTTTCCAAGTAAAGAATTGGCTAACAGGTTAGGAGTCTTGCCTCATAATCTTTGCATCTTCTTTGTCGCAGGTTCGAGCCCGCTGGATTTGGTTTTTTCCATGTTACGTTTTCCATGTTTTTTTTTTTTCGTAATAATATTAAAATAAATTCAAAATGTTTTTAAATAATTGTTATACATTTCTATATTCACAAGATACAAAACATCTGCAATTAATAATATACATGTAGTATACAATTGTTACGCGGCCAGATACCGCATCCGTTATTTTCGTAAAGAACAGTTAATACGAGGGTCATTCAATAAGTAAAGAGACAAATTCTATAATTTTAAAACTATTCAATGAATGTGTACAATCTTTTCAGGAGTGTTAGTTGGCAACCTTGGGATATGCTCTGATCAGCTGTTTCATCATTTTATGTCAACATAACCTCAAAATTTTCAATTCACCATGGCAAGTCCACTAGAAGATTGCACCTTAGAAGAGCAGCGCTCAGTCATTAGATTTTTAGTCCAGCTGACCCGTGATAAGCTTCAAGAATTGGGTTGGGAGGTCTTACCTCATCCTGCCTACAGTCCCAACCTCGCCCCATCTGATTTTTACCTGTTTGAACCACTCAAAGACGCCCTACGTGAAAAAAGATTTGCTAACAATGAAGTTAAGGAAGCGGTGCAAAAGTGGCTTCGGGGTAAATCGAAAGAATTAAAGTAAATACCTAAGTAAATTATTACTTACGAAATATTCATCTTTCTCAGTCGCGTTTACAAGCTTTCGTAAAAATAATAAAATATATTTGCTTTTAAAACATTTAATTAGTAATTGATGAGGTATTGAAATTTTTACTTATTCTAAAACCAAATCGAAGCCAACGAAATTTATTTTTTCGGAGAAAATGATTTTAGAAGATTTATTTTAATCATAAAATTAAAAATAACACTCCACATCTAATGAAATCATCTACTGCTTATGAATTAATAGCACAATGTGTACATATTTTAATGAAATTTATAATAATGAATATCAACAAATATTTTTTGGATACAATAACCATTTTGAGTAGAAATTTATTTTATACTTAATAACTTTGAAAAAAATCGAATAAAATGATATAAAATAGAATTTAACCCTGCGACTGTTGTTTATTTGGGAGCTATGTGAACACTGTGACACGAATGAATTACAATAACAGTCGTTAAGCACGAAATGCATGTTATAATTGAAGAATATTGTTTTATTATTTTCAATAATTATTTTTTATTATTTTTTATATTTATAATATTGGTTATTAAATCACTGCTATGAAAAAAGTTGGCCTTCCAAAGAAGTAATAACAAATACATAATAGACACTTTAGCCGAATATTTACAGCAGTAAATAAGATGGACGTCCATCATTAACGCAAAATCATTTTTACCGTGAGTTATTCCTTGGTGATAGCGTAATGCAGTTATGTGACTCCAAAATACTCAAAAGTGAGGAGCAATCTGTCCTCCGAATTTACAACTGTAACAGCGCTCATTCAGCTGCACACGTGCAACGGTGAGTGGGTACTTGTATCCGTTTTACTACTTGCTGTACATAACTGATCAATAGGCACCAAGAACAGTCGGAGGGTTAAATACAATATCTTGGGGAACATAATCTAAATTAACGAACATTTTAAACTTCAAGCACTGTACGATCATTTCTTTACATCATAACTATACCATTCAATGTATACCATATTATATGATGTCAAATTTTACAATTTTGCATTTAGCTGATATATTAGTCTTGTATAATAATTTCATATACATTAGCATATACAAAATTAATACTCCATATTGGTGCCATAATCAGGGTGTTACTATAATTCGATTAATAGTGAAAATGTGTTCATCACTGAATCGCAAAGTGTCGCACATGGATTCTGTATAAGTTGAATATACAAACACATAATATTGAATATTTTCTCTTTTCACAAATAATCTATTAAAATTACTATTTATAAAAGGAAATAACAAAATTTAACTTTGGTACTACTACTATTGCGGTAGTTATTGTTCAAATTTAAGTTTACATATTTCTTTGTACGTAGCTGCAGACAAACTTTGTAATGAACAGTTGAAATAAGAATAATGCGGTGCTGCAGTTATGATAACATAAAAAACAATATTTATGATAATACATAACAACACTGATCAACTGTCTTGCTCATCGAAATTACATTCTACTCTTTTCGCAAAACTTAATAGTGCACTTTCATGAATTAACACAAACATTCATTATGTATACACTTTTTTTTAAATCAATTTTTTTTTAATAAAATGCTTTCATACTCTTTCTTCATTTGGTTTAATAGGAAGTCAACACACCAGGAGGTGTAGGCACAACAACAGTATGTTGTGGTACTACTGGTGGCGCTGGCGGTGCCAGAGGATGGCCGACTAAAACAGCTGCCGCTGGTATTGGTAACACACCAGACTGAGGAATGGCTGATGGAGTGCTCACTTGTGTCGGTGGTCCTTCTGCCGCATGCTTTCTCAAATGTCTCAACATATTACCTTTTTCGACAAATGTTTTTCCACAATCTGGACAACTATGCGGTCTTTCGTCTGAATGTGAACGCCTGTGAGATACTAAGTGTCCCTTACACATGAAATCTTTAGGGCATAAGTCACAACGGAACGGTCTTTCAGCGTTACTTCCTTTATTGTGCGAACGCATGTGAAAAAGTAAGTTACCCTTCAATGGAAAACTTTTGCCGCATTCTGTGCATACAAATGGACGTTCACCAGTATGACATCTCATATGATTTACCAAATGTTCCTGTAAAACGATAAAAAAATAAATTAATAAAAATCAGAGAATGACCCGATATTTAAGTATCAAAGACATACAGTAATGTTTTAAAGAACATGGTAAATATTGTCCGCGTCACACAAGAAGTTATTCGAGAGGAACGTAGATTCACGCTTCACTTTACATGTACTAGTTGACGATAGATTACAACTTTCAATCCGTCGGTTTTGAACAGCTGTTAGTGTTAAATAATCAGAATTATGGAAAATAAAAAAACTAATAATACACTTTTGAACACGAACAAATTATTTAATAAACAACACAAACAACAAACATTTTAACTTAAAGATTAACCATTTAAACAGGGATTACTTTTTCTTTTAAATCAAATATATCACGAACGCTTACATATTATAACGACAAGACGGAAGTTCAATATTCAATTATTTTGTTTCTAATATTCAATTATTCTGTTTCTAACATTGTACATCATTTCTAATACTGTAAGATGTCGCTATAAGCTAAATTTATTAATAATTTAACAGTTAGTTTAGCAAGTAACTTATGTTACACTTTTTTAGACTGGTATCCAAATAGTGAGATATACGAAAGGCAAAAAGTATAAGATATTTAGGGCTTTAAAAGCACAAAATGGTTCTTGATCTCAGTCGTTTTTCGAACTCAAGAAGTTCACGAATATTCATATAGGTTGTTTTAGATTAGCATTTAAATTGAAAGGTTCGTGAAGGGATAATAATGTTCACTACCGAGAATGAATGCACGTTTTAATTTTGTATTTTTATATATTTACGCATTTTTATTGTAACGTATTCTTATTGTCAACAAAACCCCAAGTTACAAAATGAAAAATATCTGATTTTATAAGTTGGCTGCATGATTGCCCTATGTTAAAAAATATTTTTTGTTGCTTTTTTTTATCGTCAATGCCATGTTATGTTCTTTTGTACAATTGTTTTTTTACCTAAGCAGCTGGAGTATTTTATGAAACAAATAATTATAATTATTAATATAATCAATGGTTCAAAGAGAATAGAATTTTCGACTGACAAAGGAAATATTTTAAGTGTACGTTTTTTTATTGTTTTTGAATATTTTAAAAAATCAAAAAATAAAAAATAAGTACTTATTTAGTTTGGTCCATTTTCATATTTATCCCTTTCGCGCCGAGCGCCGCATATATGCGGCATCCACTCGACGACTTGTGGGTACGAGCGCCGCATATACGCGGCATCCGCGCCACGACTTTTGGGTATGAGCGTTCTGTTCCGTGACGGTACTTCGGCGGACGGGTCTGCCGTAGCGAAAGGGTTAAAAAACGTAATAAAATAAATCTTACTCATTTACGACTCTCTAAAGATTCTGCAGCAATCAACTATCTCAAGAGTTATCATAGACAACTTTTAAGTAAAAGTTTCGTGGTGTTTTACAAATATGTTGAAGTGAATAATGAAATTCTTAAGAACGACTTGTTTATAACAACAAATTTGCAAATCAATATGGTTTTAAAATTAATCACAATCTACATAACGCTCAAAAAGAACAGAAATTTTTTTCTAAATCTATTAACGTATTTGTTACGCGGCCAGATACCGCGTCCGTTATGTTGTAAAGAACAGTTAATATTTACACAAACACAACCATCGTCCGCACGAATTCTGACCCTCTACAGCAGCAATAAACTCATGAAGCCAGTACAAACCCCGCGAGTTTCTTTAGAGTCACCGTTTGCACATGTTTATTGCCGGTAATAGTTTTTAGCTTTTCGCTTTTTCCAAACACATGTTTTCTTCACGTCAAGGCGCATCCTAATTTTATTGCTTGCTAAGGTCAAGGGTCCATCTAATAAATCAAATCAACATGATCAACAGGGTTTTTCCCAAAAACCCTAATGTCACATGTAGGCGGTCACTTAAGACCCCTCATTACACATTTTTTCACACCAAGCACAGACAACTACCCCCGGACACTACTCCGTTAACCCATTTGCATCATAAGCGCATATATGCGCGCATTTTGCCTGGCCACTATCACCAGAGTGCGCATATATGCGCTCATTGCACTTAGGCATTTATCACCAGAGCGTATATTATACCCACGCGTATTTGGCTCTCCTCAATCAATGAAAAGAGGTGATCGCGAATAGTTTCAGGGTAATATAACTTAGAAAAATAAAAAAAAATGGATGGTTATGTTTCCGACAACAGTGAAGAGGTAATTAGATCTAGAAAACGTAGACGTTTTATGGCGATTTCTTCTGATAGTTGTGCAAAATAATTAGATTTTATTCCTCTCATAATTATGAATCTATAATGAAGTAAAAATTCTTTATTTATGTAATATTGCTTTTATTTTTAACATTTGAAAACATTTTCATTTAAATACAATCAACAAAATTTTTAGTGATAAGAACAAATTTTTCACTTTTCTGTGTGATGCAAATGGGTTAAACACACCTACACGAACTTACTTACACGACATCTCATCACCCAAAAATCAGAACTCTACAATAGGGTGGCCCTTAGCTTTAGAGCCCGATTTTTTTTTTCGATTTTTTTTTGGTCTCACCCCCCAAAATTGTGGCACTTGATGAAAAAATGATAATGTCAAAGTTTCAGCATGATTGGATAACAGGAACCCGTACCGCAATCGAGTTGAAGTTTTGAAATTTGCACTATTTCAGGTTATCGTCGAATATGTTAGTGGTCTTTTATTTTATAAGTATCAGTGAATATTTTATAATGAAAATATCATTTTTTACATATATAATTTTAGTGTTGGTGTATGATTTTAAAAAATATACTAAGAATTAATGAATCTTACCGCTAATGTTAGTATGAATCTCGTTCCGTAGTTGCTGAAGCGGTCATTTCGAATACGAAAACTAATCTCCTATTCGGTCAGCCATTAAAGATATTATGTAAAATGAAACAAATATTTCGGTATTAAAAAAATGTATAGTAAGTGCTTTGCATGGTAGATATACAAAAAGATTCTCTGCCTGGTAGTTATACAAAAAGATTCCCGGCAAGGTTAATATTACCGTGTTTTACCTGATCAAGGGATCGGTGAGGTCATAGGTTTCTTGGTTTTTTCCAGCAAAATATTTTTCTGTTTGAGGGTGTTTTATGATTTTACCTGGCGGTGTCTCTAATAAATAAATGTATCTACTGTTAGTCACAATGGTCATTTTTCATTCTGTTTCGTGAGTTCCAAGTGTTCGTATCGTGAGTTCAGTTTAAGAATATAGTGAAATTGTAAAGATGGAAACAAGAAGCGCTGACAGAATATTTTTGTTGGAGTATGATGCAAGCTAAATTATTGGCTCCAAATTACCAAGTAACGGCCAAGTTTTACGCGTTTTGTTTCACAATGTGCGTAAAGTTAAGCTGGATCTCCGTGAAAGTGCAGCAATAATAATCAAGGAAGTGGAAGTTTTCTGGAATAAAGCGTGGATTCCTACGAGAACAACGCAACATAGCATTGAAAAATTATTAAAATTACATAGTAATTGGCGTTTGTTACAAAAATCTCGAAAACGCCGGAATGAAGTACAGGAAAAAAAGGAAAGAGAGTTTCTGGAGTCGTTAGATGACCTTTTTGACATCGCGCATTTTGAAGCTCTTAATGTGATTAAAATCGAAGAAGACAAACTTTTTTTATTAAACCAGCGAAAAAAGGGACGACCTGGGTTAATGCTCGGTGCTGATAAAAATACATTGGAGAAAGAAAAGCGACAAGCAGTTCGGCGGCAGCAAGAAGAGTCTCGAAAAATTCGATTTAAAAGCATGATGGAAGTGCAAGGTATGATATATTTTTAATAAACTATTTTTGTTAATCTGTGCACTCTATATCTTGTTTATGTATCTGTATTATAGAAGCGGTAGAACTCCAGTCTTCACCAAGTAGTGGAACGGAATATATTGAACATGCTGCGGATATTTCGTGTGCGCCTGAATTTCTTGGTGAGCCTGGTCCAAGTGAAGCAAAGAAACGAAGAGGAAAGACACAAGTCATTACCGAAAAACTTGTGGCAGTGTTAGACAATTGCAAAATAAGTGATCGCGATGCAGTGCGTGTAATAATGGCTACTGCAGAAGCTTTAAATCACGATTTAAATGAATTAGTAATCAATAGATCGTCCATACAACGCTGTCGACATCGCCTTCGCGCAGAACGGACCATAAAGTTGCGGGAAGCATTCGAACAAAATTTACCGTCAACGGTTACGGTTCATTGGGACGGGAAAATGTTGCCGTCCGGAATAAATGCGGAAAATGTAGAGAGATTGCCGATTATAATTACATACGGCAAGAAAGAAAAACTTTTAGGAGTTCCAGCAATTCCTAACAGTAGCGGCAAGGAACAAGCTCTAGCAATCTATGGTTTGTTAGAAGATTGGAACCTCATAGACAGAGTACAAGCCCTGTGTTGTGACACCACATCCTCAAATACCGGACGATTGCAAGGAGCTTGTGTTCTGTTGGAACAATTAATTGAACGCGATACATATATTGTACCTTCCTTGCCGGCATCATATTTATGAATTAATTTTAAGAAGTGTGTTTGAGGAAAAACTTGGGAAATCATCTGGTCCTGAAGCACCGCTTTTTAAAAAATTTCAAAAAGCTTGGCCTAAAATTAATTTAGTAAATTTTAAAACAGGTGTACAAGATCCGTATGTTTATGGAAAGCTCCAGGATGTAAAAGAGAAAATAAATTTTTGTTTGTATCATTTGCGACAAAAGCAGCCGAGAGATGATTACAAAGAATTTTTGGAGTTGATAATAATTTTTCTTGGGGGATCTCTGCCACGAGGAAATACTTTTCACGTTCCTGGAGCTTTTCATCATGCTAGGTGGATGGCTAAAGCAATTTACGTGCTAAAAATTTATTTATTCCGGCAAGAATTTTTATTAGATAGTAACGATATCATAGGGATAAGTGATATATGTATTTTTGTAGCTAACTTATACATTCAAGCCTGGATGAATGCACCAATTCCCATAAAAGCGCCATTACAAGACCTGAAATTCCTACAAAATCTATACCTCTATTCGACAATTGATAAGAATATTGCTAGAATTGGAGTATGTAAATTTTCTAACCATTTATGATACCTTGCATCCGAGAACGTGGCTTTATCCTTTTTCGATGAAACAATACCATTAAACATAAAAAAGAAAATGATTAAGGCTCTAAGAAATAATAATACAGAACATTCAGTCAAAAAACTTGTAATACTTCCGGAAAACGTACAAAATTATGCAAACATGAATATTGATAGCTTCGTTTCTACTGAATCTAAAAAATGGTTTAACAGGTTCAATATATCTACTGATTTCTTAGACAAAGACCCTTCCTTGTGGGAAAATGATATTTCATATCTACAAGGTTTGGAAATTGCAAAAAATTTAAAAGTGGTAAACGATACCGCTGAACGTGGTATCAAACTTATTACTGAATACAATAACCAGAAATGAAGAAGAAAAATAATACATTTTACATCTGTTAACTAAAAATGAAGAAGAAAAACAATACATTTTACAAATAATTGAGAATTAGAAAAGCTTTTATCCTAATGTAAGCAAATCTACATTAACACAGAATATATATTAAACGCTACGTACAATTTAATAATAGGCTAATTTATGAGACAACTGAAATTTCATTAAAGAATATTCTGCTGATAAGTATTAAAAAAAATTCGTTTATAAGTGTTAATACAATCGAGATTATTAAAAAATGTATCAACTTTTGTACAAATTATATACAGCTCCCAGTTGTCCAACCGTCGCATTCTCCGGTAACTTAAAAGCTACGTTACATTTGTGTGTAAATGTATTGTGTGTAAATATGTAAATATTTATGTGTTGTAATTGTATGTAAATGCTAGTATTACACGTGTAAAAAATTATATTTTCATTACAAACTGTTCACTGATACTTATAAAATAAAAGACCACTAACATATTCGACGATAACTTGAAATCGTGCAAATTCCAAAACTTCAATTCGATTGTGGCACGGGTTCCTGTTATCCAATCATGCTGAAACTGTGACATTATCATTTTCTCATCAAGTGTCACAATTTTAGGGGATGAAACGATGAAAAAATCGAAAAAAAAAAAAATCGAGCTCTAGGGGGGTGAGACCAAAAAAAATCGGAAGTCGAAAAATAAGAGCCACCCTACTCTACAAACATCCGACACGATCATACATTTTCAAGCTTCATAGTCTTTTAAAATAAACAGCATTTTAGTTAAAGGTCAAACATAGTCTCTAATTCAAATACCCATAGAATCATCCTTATCGCTGTAACTACCGGTTAGTTACAAATACGTTAATTCGGGACATCGAAAGAATTCGAGTGAGGACTTACAACCCTCATAGGCGCGAGTTGCTACGATTCGGTCTTGTCGCGAGTGATGTAACACAATAATATTTAATACATGTAATAGAGGTCCTATATCACGTACAATATTAACTATGTACAGTAAATATTCGATATCTGTACAAATGACCTGTACGATATGTGTACCAAAGTTATATACCTAGTGTATAGCGGTAAACTATAAAGTAATCGGCCGAGCAGCGATGTTATTCTTTAGACAAGGACAGAACATAGCATGCTTTCTCTTTTTAATAGTAGTAAAATTTCGTGAATGGAATAATGTACCAGATTCGTAACAAGCAACTGCCCAAACCCGAGCGAGTGGCTTATTACGAGTGGTTTATTACGAATCGATGTAGAATCAGATGAATCGAACACACTGCAATTCCTAATTTGTCACACTTCGCTTTATTTTTTTACAATTATGTGAATATTAACATATACCTACATATGTATGTATTGTGTTATTATTGCAATTGTAGTTTATTGAAATAAAATAGTTTAAGAAATATTGATGTCCAAAAAATGGTAGGTCATAGCCGTTACTGTGACAATAAAGCAATTTGGAAAAATTACGGTTGAACGAGTAACCAGTTTTATTACCATTTCAGTGTACATAGTTCATATAGTATTATATACTGTATATAGTGTATTACACTTAAATAATTTTTTCTTTAACTTTTTTTTATTTTTGTTAAATAAATTAATTAAAATTATAGATAAAAATGTACCTCAAATTATGGATCACTATCAGCCATTAGATTTAAAAAAAAGCATATTGATATAATATAATTTCGGAGAATATACTTTTCATAATATGACAGAATCGCCATTGCATCAGAGTGAGAAAATATAATGTACCGGATTCGTAACAAGCAACTAGCCAGACCCGAGCGAGTGGCTTATTACGAATCAATGTAGAATTAGATGAATGAACGACAGAATCGCTATGTATCAGAGTGAGAAAAGAATATATATGTTCTGTCCTCTAAACTGTTCGGTCGTCCGTGAAAATTTATGACTTCTTCCGTTTCACGGACCTCTTACTCTTTCTCGGATCTCTCACTCAGCGGCCGACTTCAAACAAAGAGGGGATAGAAATTTGCTTGTTACGAATCACAAAACTGTTGCTTGTTACGAATCAATACTGTATTATGAAAATAAAAATCGAAATAGTTGAGGTAGGTTATGACTGTTCATGTATTTTATATAAATGCAATTCCCCTTCGTAAAAGACGTTTCTTTCCAGTAAAGAATGAGTATGTCATCAGGATGAATTGAGTCGTTGACGATAGTTCTGTATCGGCTATTGCCATGAAAGAATAAAATAAAGAAGTATAATATTTTAAACGTGCCCACTTCGCAGTAATCAATAGAGAAGTGAATTAAGAGCAAGGTATAACCAATTGTCATAAATAATTTTCAAACTTTGTCGTAGATTGACGCTCCATAAAGATTAAAATTTGATTTATAGTATCACTTCATTAACTTATTAGTATGTTAATTTCATTAATTGTTCGTTATAATTTGTTATTCGTTTAAAAAGGAATAATGATATATCATAGAAAAGATCGAAAAAATATTTAAAAAAGCATGAAAGATAAATAATTTATTGTTATATATTATTTATGGAATTAGTATTTTCTGTTTGCACATAATAAATTTGAAAAGAGAATTTAATGGTACGATTGCTTTCACCTGTTAGTTTTGATGCAAACTGTTTTTCAACGGTAGACAGTTTTACCGGTACCCTCCGAGGTGCCATATACGGGGCATTCGGCTACTGATGGACATAATTTCAGGAGTTGGTAGCTAAGGTGATACTGAACAACTTTTTTCTTTAACAAAATGTTGACTGAAGCTTAGTTTTGAATTATTAACGAATAAAATAATTTTTAGAAAAAAAATACACCGACTTCGAAATGCACTAAAAAGTATAAAATAATTTCTATTTCCTAATGAAGTAATTTCTATTTCATTTAATCATACAATTACATAACAGATATGAATGAAACCTATTTACTCGTTAGGTATTATATTAAATACATTTCAACCTTTTCGGAGGCGGCGCAAAATTAAATAACATATTCAAAATAATCTTTTAATTTTGCGCCGTAATTCTGTTACGTAATTGTATGATTGAATGAAATAGAAATTACTTCATT